GAGATTAGTGACAATTCACACCTCTAGCTTGTACAGAAGCTGTGTCTGCTGTAGTCGACTGCCAGGTGGATGCCAGGACATATGTGCACGGTTTAAGCGGCTTACAAGGAGAGGTTAAGTGCTTTGCGTGGCAGCTGACACACAGGTGTTTTGAAGTTGTGACCGTCTCATTGTGTTAACATACTGTAACCCCTCAGAAACTCTACTGTATATTATTTTCAGATGAATACGTTCCTACATTGCTGTTCTCCACCACCGTAGAGTTTGACATTTTTTGCATTTGTTGCTCCGACCACACTGTGTCAAGGTTTTTCGGAGCCTGAAATATTTCCCTTATTTTAATATTATTATTATTAGTCCAAGTGTTTACCCAGGAGAGAAACTATGAGATAGTAAGAGAAAAAGACGAGAGCGACAGCTTAAGAGACCCAAACTTCAAAAGAACAACAAAGAGTGTGTCACACTACCATCTATGGTGTTTAAATGATTAAAAAAAAGGGAATTCAGTTGTTGTTCATTAGATGGCCCTCTGCAGGTCATAATAACCTGTTGGATACAGATTCAACAAAGCAGAAAAATTAAGATTTTCTGAAGCTCCACTCTGCTGTGGCCTAAAAGGGCTGACTGGCAGCTATCTGATAAGGGTTATTGAAACTAGAGCATATTTCACTGAGCTCAGGAATAATAACTGTCTACATAGCAAGCCATGTTTGGACGGCTGTGTGTCGATTTTGTCAAGGAAATTTATTTTTGGCTGACTCCAGGAAAAGAGGTATTCAAACTGTTTCAGATGAAACTAGAGAAGTCTTTACCTGTCCTTGGTAGAGGCCGGCGTCTTGAATGGTGCTGTCGGGTTTGTTGAGAGGCTCAAAGGTGTTGCTCATGTACCTGTTCCACAGCCGGGTCTCCTTCTCATCGGGGATGGTGAACAGCTTCCGCATCTCCTTCTCTATCATGTCTGCAGCAGAGCGTGAATATTATCAAAAACATAATAATAAATTGTGGTTCACATTATATGATTAAAAACAGAAACAGCCAGAGGTTTACCAACACTTGCCAGCAGAAAGAAAGATGAAAGATGGCACATGGTTGACAGATGCTTACATAATAAAAAGTGGTTTAATTCAACGTGGAGGCAGTGAAGAGAATGTTTGAGAAGCCATTTTGTCTTTGATTTATTATTGTAAAAGAACATCTTATTAGCGTGGGAGGGTTATTGTGGTGAAAACCACAGGAACAAGTAATGCCAGAGAAGATCTTTCATCATCAACCGACCACATTTGTTTAGAAATGATGCAATAACTTAATAACATGACATTAACTCATGCTTTTTGTGCACTGTACACTGTGTGTGGGAGAGACAGTGTGTGTCTCAGCATGTTTGTGTCTACACACATCTAAAATTTTACAAACAGGATCATGACAGTTGCCTTAATCAAAACAAAAGGGTAAATTGAAAGTAGTGGAAATCTAAGTTGAAATCTAGCTGCATTCAGGTCAGCTTGGAGCTCCTTGGAGGTCCCTTGAGTGTGAACAGCAGTGGTAAATAAGACAGTTACTCCAGAGTGACTCAGGCCTACCTATTGTGTCAGCTTTACTGAAGCGTCTGGTGATCACATTGTCCATGTTGCTGTCTTCGCAGAGCTTCAGCTCCGTCAGGTACACCTCCACCTTGCAATGCTTCACAAACATACCCTGTTCCACCACCTGGAGAAAAGCACAGGGGAAATATTAACCTTCCACATAACCTAAGAAAGAATCCATGATTAATCAAATACAAATATATGTAATTTATAAATATCAATTGTTATTATTAAACACTGTATGTACTTCTAGAATATTAGCAGTAATTGTATAAACGCATTCTTACAATGCAAAGGTGGCTCCAATGAGAAAGACACAGGCATACTATACTAGCACAACTCAGGATCATTCCACATATTCTCAACAGTATTTAAAAATACCAAGAAAAAGTGTGGAAAGACATTATGTAGCAACAGGTACACGATAAGACCCAATAAGGGGAAACCAAAGACAAATATATTCTATCAGATTAAAATAGAGCCTCCCGCTTATCATGATACAAGTATGGAGCTTTTACAGCTAATCAACCAAACATCGAACACCAAAACCAGCTGTTTTTTTTTTTTTTGGAATGAGTGGTAATTAATGAATTATTTAATTGCAGCCTCAAACGATGTAAGGTATCTAGTAAATTTGGGGGTTGTACTAGCTTCTGTGTCTCATGGAGAACAAAGTAGAGTCTGCTGGCCTGGTTGCCACTCAACTGGCGTCCTGATATGAGCACAGTCAGAGTGAAGAGCCTAAATTAGCAGCACCTCGTGGAAACAGCTGAGGGGTCCCAGCCTATTTATTTCACCTCTGAGCCCCTCCGACACACACACACACACACACACACACACACAACTTCCCAAACCTTCCTGAGAACTGCAATAGTCATGCACACACACACGGCTCAGATTCTCCCCCCCCCACCCCTCCCCTACCCATACCCCGACACCCATCCCTTAACCATACCGACACCCGGTGGGCACCTAACCCCTCAGCAGAACACCATGTGGTTTTAACTCGGAGGAAATAGCCGATCTGCAGAATTTCTCAAATCGAGCGAGGCTAAAACATTTTCGCCCACCACCCAGCCCCCCCTACTCCTCCCATACTGGTTGTGCCTCTCGCGCTGCTCTCAGAAGCTTTCACGCTGCTTCTCTCAGCGTGACCTCAGCCGGCATTCCTCCACTTCAAAAAACAAGGACACGCAGGAACACTCCGCCGGTGTTGGCAATCAGACCACAAGAGGACAACGGAAGGAAACACAGCGACAAACCCGTGACTACAATCCTCCTAAATCCTTTTTAACGCTTGTGTTTTCCCCTGCACCTCAAGATGACAACCCCACAGAAGAAACAAAGAGTTGAAAAAAAAAAAAGAAAACTAGTAATGAACCTCCTGCATGTTGTGTGTCGCAGATCGCTCCATGTAGCTTTTCAGTCATCCAGAACGTTGCCTGAAAATAGAAACCCCGCGGCCACCCGATACGTCCCACGACATACATGGCAAAATGGGAGGGTCAGTGGAAGGGGGGGGGAGAGAAAGAACGAGAGAGAGAACGAAAGAGGAACCTCTTCTAGCAGCCATGATGCCATGACTAGTGAGATTTTAAGTAGGGGATCTGATACTGTATCTACTGTTAAGTTGTAGCCGCCATCATGAAGTATTCCACTGACCAATCCACTGCTAAACACACAAACAGTTAAACAACAACAACAAAATCTGTGTGAGAGTAATTAGGCCTAAAGTAAGCCCTGACAGAAACTAATGAAATGCTGATGGTAAATGAATGAAAAGTAACATCATGGTTGCTTCCTGTTCAGACGTTCATACATGGTAAATATCCAATATATCAGTATTATCTTGATTTGTTTCCAGCTCCTGTGCACTGTGTATCTTTGTACATCGAACTAATCAATCAATACCTTCTACAGCACTTCTCATGGTTACACACAAGCCTCAAGTATTTTATTCCAAACTAAATATTGGGCCAAACTGTCTTTCGCTATTCTTTTCCCTGAAAGCGGATAATGAGCAGCAGAGACGTATCAGGAAGTAGTACAGTTCTTGAACGTCATCTGCCTGTGTCTTTTACGTTAAGTAACACTATTGCAGAACTCAAGTGTTAATTCCAAATGTGCTGCACTTTACGATATCCCAATCCACTGCAGCTGCCAACCACAACCATTACAAAGCTTCAGGGAAAACCGCCTATGAGGAGATTATATAATGCAGTGAGCAAAACACTCCCCATCCGTACAATCCATTCATAGCGTTATTATTCGCGTCTGAACCCTTACCTTGCGGGCAATTGGCTCCTGACCTTCTGTCAACCCATACCAGCTGACGAGCTTATTCCAGCCCTCCGTTGGGACCAAGATGTAGTCGAGCTCATCGATGAGGTGCTCCTTGATGGCGAGCACATCCCCATCTAGAGGTGGGGAGGGGATGGGAGAACGGGGTGAGAAACGAGCAGGCAGACGGAGGGAGGGAGGGAGGGAAAGACAACACTTACACCGGTGACACCCTGCGCTGTCTGTCTCACACGACACAAAACACACAAATGGAAAAAGGTACGCTGGAGAGCTTTCTATGAAACGGCTACTCTATGGAGTCTGCCAACAATGTTGTTTTTTTGTTCTCCTTTCCTCTGAACTCTTTGTTGCTACTTCCAGAACGATAAAGCTATACTATACACACAGCACAAAGGCCACGCAGTTGATTACAGTCACCCTTGTGGCGATGTAAGGTCCAAGAAAGTGATGCATCATCCGTCTTACCTCTGAGGAGACCGGAGTTATCCACTGGTCCTGGGTACACATTCTGGTCACCCATCTGGTATTTGTCCCAGCTGTCAAATCCCACATATTTCTTCCACTGTTTGAACCAGTGACTGTCCACAAGGTACCTGCAGAGAAGGCAAGCAGCATTATTTCAGCTCTGATAAAGCAAGACTGACTGGTTTTATCAGTCTGGATTGTTCATGAGTCATGCAACACGCTTTAAAAAGCTGCCAACCAAAGCGTTTGTAGTCCCTTTTACACGTTAAATGGTGACAACAGAAACACTCGGGCAGGTGGAGGCTACCTTGCTGTGTGTGCTCTTAATAAATCTGCCTCTGGCTAATATGACACTGATTGAGAGCGGTAACAGTAGCAGCGTTAACGCCGACTTGAGTTCAGGCTGCCGCATGCCTGGCCAGCTGGCTCTGTGATTTTGACAGGTGCTTGTTTTGGGACTCCGCCCTGCAGAAGTCGACGGATGAACCCACCGACTGGCAAACCCACTCGGAGCTCCGGCAGACTGGCCAATTAGCCATTAGCCTGCTAACTAGATCAGCCTCAACTGAGATCGTGTCAGCAGACAAAACGCGAGATGCTGGTTTGGAAATGGCGAGCCCCGTTCACCGCAACACACCGCATAAACCGCAGAAAGATACGCGAGCTCTATTGTTCTTCATTGATAGTTGAGTAGCCACCGTTAGCCGGAGCAACGCTGACACACATGAAGCTGACGGGCTCCCGCTAGTTAGCTCGGAGCTAACTGTCAACACGGCCCGTCACCTCGGCTTTCTTCTCCTCCGTGGCGCTGACAGCCGCGGCGGAGGCAGCCCACGGCCACGCTGCGTCTTTAGAAGGGTTTCAGCTGAAGTCTTACCAAGTGTCTCCCTTCCGTAGCTGTGTTTTCAACAGCGCCGCGACCTCTCCTCTCTGGGTATCCAGATCAGCCGCTCCTCCTTCCGCCATCTTTCCTCGGACATCACCCGCTGCATGGTGGGAAAGTGTGGGGCGTCACCGAGGCGACGTAGAGAGTGACGCTGCGGGTTTCGGCCAATCATCGAGTCGCCGACAGAGCAGGAGAAGCGTGACACCCAGTGGTGGATTTATTCTAGAAAAAATGATCCAAAACTGCTCTATCATTGTGGCTGCACAGCCTTCATGCTGCCTGAGAGAGTGTACCCCTTTAAAACACAGTCTTCATGAAGCACACACCTCTTTGTCCAGCCAGGGGCATTATATCATTTGACATTTTGAACACAACATGTACTGCGGGGAGTAAAATACATCATTTCATAAAGAATTTGTCAGTGGATTTGATCAGAAATCATACATTCTCTCCTGTTGTGAAACCGTGAGATGCATATTTTCTGCATTTTGCTGAGGACATCCTGGAAGTCATTTACACAGCGAAGCTAGCATGTGGGCTCATTATGCAAATTTTACAAAGTCAACACCTGCTAGGCTCTATCACACTCACTAATGAATGTGTAAAGCAGGCAAAATCATTATGAGCACACAATGTTATGTCAGTAGGTTAAAGGGGTTCTCCAGTGATTCAGTATTGCACTTCATACAGTTCATACAGTGCAGGGGACTTTAGATAAGAAATAATTATGGTGAAGATTTCAGCAGCAGAGGGAGAGATATCCAGACTTCAGTCCCGAATATGGTCATACACTTCCCATAATGGTGTTTCATTAGATACTTTTTTCTCCCTCGAAATAAAATAAATTAAAATAAAATGAATACAGCACTGCATAGAAGTGGTGAAATAGTTCAAGACAACATTCAATTTTGCATGTTTATTTAAAAACATACTTACAAGATTCACATTTCTTTGTACAGTCATATTATGTTACAGCATAAAATATGAAACTACATTGTCATGTTAGTCCTACTGCTATCGCATTGCTACAATATTATAATTTTCACGGACATTATATCTTCCCATCACACATAACATTTTATTTCAATTCTTGTAAATACAATATGGAAAATTCCACCAGTCTGTTATGATAATACAATATATGATACAAATATGGCTATGTAGTCATGAAGTGATGTCAGATACACAAGGAGACATGCAGCCCACTTTTCAGTGGTGATTTGGCTGTGTTATATTTGGACAAAAGTCATCCTTAGTATGCAGCTAGAACATTTAGGCCTATTTTGTAACTTCTGGTGGAACCTGTGTGCCACTCTCCAGTGAATGAGATGAAAATGCCTTTAACTTCTATTATAAAATTGTAACATTTTCTCAGAACAAGGCTGACCTTGAATTAGTTCATTTACACCATCTGTGAAATAGATTACAGTTTGAGAGAGTAAATGACTTTTGTCCCTGAAATAAATGCCCTTGTCCCCTCTAAAACTTCTAAGTAATCCAATAAATGATAAACAATAAATGACTTTTTTATTTATTTTTCTTTATCTTTCTTTTATCAAATTGCTGCCATCCCTGAAATGTACAGGCGTTGCCAAACCCAACACACTGTAGGCATATTATCTCCTGAGTCCTCCATATCTGTCCTGTATTAAAGTATGTGATGTGACACTTTATTGTATCTTTCCCTGCTGTGATCTTTGGGATGGAGGCAAGGGTGCAGCAAGTCAAGGATGGAACTAAAACCCCACATGTCTTTCTAGTACACATCACCACGGGGGGCCTCATAAGTTGGAGTCTCTCTCTGAGACAGGATAGTAGCCATTTGTATTCAAGGTGGCATCTCCCCCAGGAGCAAAGATGGCCAATAACCTCTCCTGCTCCCTCTTGGTTTTGGGTAAGCTGTCACATGGTGTGATGAGCAGCTGGATGCGCTGTAGAAAGATACACCGGGGTTAATGGGCCCTAGCCATGACCATCTTAAATAAATCCTTTAAAATCAGACAATGAGGGATCACAACAATCCCTGGGGCCAACACTTACCTCTCTGAATGTCCCCTGGGTGGTACTGATCTTGTACACCATCCAAAACGGGATGCAGACCATTGAGGCGAGAGCAAGCAGCCATCCAATGGCATAGCCCCACCACGGGTACACATACTCATTGTTGTACTTTAGGGGAGTGTATTTGATGAGGGAGAAAGCAAAGGTACCCTGGAGAGAGGAGTAGACAATTAGTAAAGAATTCTCTTTGATTTGTGCAGAAGAGGAGAGGAGGCCTCAGCCACTATCAGCCTTTGTCATTTTTGGAAAGGCTTGATGCTACTTAATTAGTTTGTTGAGGCTCACAATGCATGTGGCTGGGGTGAAGAACAACCAACAGTACTTGATGTAAGGTCCTGGGCGGTAGCCAATCATGTCCTCAATGTTGTCATAAAAGCGATCTGCACCTGGAAAAATATAGTAAAGACATTTATTTCTATGTTGCGCCTTGAAAATTGTAGTGAAATAGAAATGTTCGCCAGTGATTTAGGATAATGCTTGATTAAAATAAATAGCAAGGATCACTGGAAACACATTTCTCAGCCATCATTAATCAGTCATTTATATGCAAGGGCTGCTTACCATAGACCCATGCAATGCAGACAGTCTCAAAGATGGCCATGAAAAGAAGACACATGCCACTGGCTGCATAGTAATCAAACAGCTGGAAGACGTACATGCCTCCCTGCAAAGAGAGAGATAGAAAGCATTGAGTCATAATTATACAAGGATAATTAACCTGCTACACAGATTCAACAGATTGACGGTTAAGTAAACATTCTAATTACAATTAGTTCAATTCATGCTCTGTGTGTTAAAAATATACCTACATTTATGGGACCTAAACTTGATGTATGGATGAGGACTTAATGTCTGTGTTAGGAAATCCTTTCATGTGGCAACAACAGGTATGTTGATGTGGTAAAGCACAAAACTGCTTGACATTACCTTGTTTGCAACAACTACATTTTGAGTTGTTTCTTTAAGCACAAATACAGTCCAGATTGCATTTTAAACATAGTATTTCTTGATAATCTGTGGCATCTATTGTAGTATTCAAAACATTCTACATGGTTGATAATATGCACAGCTTATAAAAGAGACTTGAAATGCTGAAGCCAAAACTAGACACTTCAGGCGTGACTTTAGCGTTGCAGTAACAACAGTTGACTCACCTAAGACATGCTGCATAAAACCTTTGACTTGCTAGCACTTACAAAATTATGACTTGTTGACACCTCTGCAAAGCATTCATGTTTCCAGCTGTGCAGAGGTGAAACTATGTCAACTATGTTGGACTCGGCAAAAGTTTATTTCAGCAGAACAAAGCATCAAATCCACCAGGTGCAACACCCGCCCCAACAGCAACTGTTGGGGCGGCTGTTTACTGTGTGTGTGTGTGTCTGTGTGTGTGTGTGTGTGTGTGGGTGTGTCAAGTTTCAATGGACATTTAATGATACTGTTAGGAAAGATACAGTGAGGGAAACACCTTTGATGATAAGATTTAAAGACACAAAGTGTACAAATGATGGTCATCTTTAAACTACTGCAGTGAGTGCTTGCAGATATAGCAAGTTTGCGTCTGTGTTTGTGTTTGTGTGTGTGTGTGTGTGTGGTCCCAGAGTGTGACCCCCTACCTCCATCAGCATGATGAGGCCCATGAAAAAGGAGAAAAGGCTAACACCTAATAGGAAGAGCTCCCTGCGGTTTTTACGTCGGAACACAGCAGGGTACATGTCCACAATCGCCGTCACAAGGCTCTCCACACACACAAACTAATGGCAGATGAGAGAAAGAAAAAGGGGAGAGAGGTAAGCACAGAAAAATGAATGGAACTCTTTGTGTGTGAGCTATAATGAAAGCATGGCTTGCCCAGTTAAAATCAACAGAATAACAAACACTACAAAGTCAGGAAAAACAGGAGTTTCAAATTATTCTAAAATATCTGTTCATCATAATCACACTGTATTTGTTTAGTAATCAGTGTAATTGTGGAAATGAGTTTGTGTGCATCACATCATAATCAACCCTCTACCTGGCTGTCAAGCCCCAGAAACACAATCATGATGAAGAAGAGGGCAGCCCACAGAGGAGAGAAAGGCATCATGGACACAGCACGGGGGTAAGCTATGAAGGCCAAGCCCGGACCTACAGACACAAGTAAAACAATGTCAACTGACCAACTAAAATTCGGACCAGATTAAACAGATATCAGGAGATTATTATTTTTTCTTGAATACATTTGAGGCTTAAAGAATGATGGAAGTCTCACCAGATTCTGCCACTTCTGAGATGGGAACATTCTGTTCATACGACATGAAACCCAGGATGGAGAAGATTGCAAAGCCCGCCACAAAACTGGTGCCGCTGTTTAGAAAGCACAGCGACAGGCAGTCTCTGCAATGGAAATGACACCATTAAGATTCACACAGGTGATCACACCAATCACATAATGACAAAGATGATGCTGCTTTTAATCAGCAGTTAGCATTTTTGTTTCAAAATGAGACATGTAAACATGTACTCCTTTGGAAGTGCCTGTGTATTTGAGTGTGTAAGTATGCATATAGATTGCTTATATACCTGTAACAGTTATTGTTATATTTGTTGTAGCTCCCCAGAGCAGTCAGCGCCCCTAAGCAGATGGCGTAGGAGAAGAAGATCTGGGTGCCAGCATCCATCCAGACCTTACACACAAAAAAAAGAAAAAATAGTCATAAGCCAAACAAAGCAATGCTGAATTACATATACATAGGTTGATGTATATACACAAACGTGATGTGCAGTGTTTAGACAATCAAGAGGAATTCACATGCTGAGTGTTAGCATGCATAATCATTGACTATTGTGGTTGAACAACAGTAAAGTCTGCCATTGGTTTGTTTGTCGCCACACTGATTAACAAACCAAGCAGCCGTAAATATCTGAGCGGAGGATCTGGGATGAATAGCAAAATTAGTCAAAATACAGTATATCCCTTATCAGATGCAAAAAAAAAATCTATAGCAAAGGGATTGTAGAGAAAGCAATAATCAGGGTTTGCTTTGGTTGGATGGCAAACTAGTACACAACTACTACACACTGACTGTTCTCTTCTGATAGAACAGTTGCTAGTCTGAGTCAAACAGAGCTAGTTAAAAACTCCACTGTCCTCCCAGAGTGGGGAAGCCTGCTTAGCTGACTGTCCTAGTAGAGCTCGTGTTTACAGTCCCTGTGGTGTCCTGGCCCTGTTTTGATCCCTGCGACCCCTGCCTCTTTCATGGAGAGCAGATGGACCCAGCAGAAACTAGGCTCCCCAGCAGAGAACCATGGGATACCTGCATCTGGTGCACCCTGGCCCACAGGGATCACATCACTAAATCTCCTAATGGCCCTCATTGGGAATTGTTTGCGTGATCACAACACTATGATAGATTCATCAAATTTAAAGGGGTTTGTGTGACATCCTGGTACCTGGGGGTCCGCCAGTCGTCCCAGGTCTGGATAAAGGTAGAACTTGATGCCGATGCCAGCGCCAGGCAGGGTGAGCCCTCTGATCAACAGCACAATGAGCATCACATAGGGGAAGGTCGCAGTGAAGTAGACCACCTACACAGACACACACACGCAGAGATGTTAAATAATGCAAAGACGAAACAAAAAGAAGAAGTAAACACCAGATGTCATCCTTAATGTGCCCTTTTGGCAAAACAAGAATAAATAGATAAAAAAGGGTCACCTGGTACTTTCACTTGCGCCCTCACAGAGGTTCCTCTCACCCACCTTTCCCGTGGACTTCACCCCCTTCCAGATGCAGAAGTAGCACATGACCCAGGCGATGAACAGGCACAGGGCCAGGTCCCAGTTCAGAGAGCCCATCTGGTCAATGCCTGGGGAAATCCTCAACGCTCTTCTCCTGCAGAGACAGGACAGGAAACACAGAGATGATGCATCATTGTGAGAGCAGTGATGTATCACCAAGAGGAGGGTATAGGCGCCGGTTTAAAGAACTCACTCCCAGAACTCGATGACAGGAGAAGTGATGTTTAGGTTGATTGTTTGGTTGATTGAGGTGTTTCTCCTCTGAAACTCCACGCAGTTTTCTGTGGGGGGGAAATGTAGAAATTTTAAAACGTATCAAAAACATTAGTGGAAGTTCTAATGCATTTGGAAGCACATTTGTTACCTGTGTTCCATGAGTTGTTGCAGGATGACCAGGCCAGGTCCCAGGAGAAGGAAAAGGACAGGTAGAAAATCCCCCAGGCCAGAACAATGATGTAGTAAAAGTTCAACAGAGTCACAATCACCTGGGTACCATAGCCAAGACCTGCAGAAATGACACTTTAGTATACAGTACTGAAAACATATTAGCAAAACCAGTGAAAACATTTTCCGGCATTACAAAACGCCATCTCACTTTCCATCATACTTTTTTTTTTGCAGTCATATATTACTGTATGTTATTCAAGTCAAATGTCCTTTCTATTTGTTCTACTTGTATAAATATGTGAGTCTTGTATTCTGAAAAAAATAAAAAATATGTTGGAAAAAAAAAACACCTCAGTGAGCACTCAGGGTTTTATACTATTTGCTATATCCTTTGCCAGAATCCCATATCAGCTTTGAGGGTGGTGGAGGGTGATACACCTGTCCTGCCTACCTTCAAACAAGGGACTGATTTTTCTCCAGCATGTAATGCCCCCCTCGCTGGTGTACTGGCCCAGAGCAGTCTCCAGGAAGAAGACGGGAACGCCACAGGTGAAGAGGAAGATCAGGTAGGGGATGAGGAACGCACCTGAGTTGAGAAAGAGTAAAGGATCAACGCATCTAGTGGAAACCGGTGAGGACGTGGGGTCAGAGCTAAAATCTTAACACAGCCCAGGGACTTCTTGCTCTGCGAGAAATGTGGACCCAAATGCAGAGTGCAGCTCCAACAGTTACAGTTCTGCTCCTATATGGACAAATGGTGCTATGTTGAGTCCCATGTGCATGTGAGTATAATGCAAAAAGATACAAAACTGTCAATCCCCCAGTTTAAAGTCATTGTCAGGACTACAAAAGATACATCTATGACATCATAATGATTCATGGAGAAAGTAGATTCTGTCTCCCTCTCTTTCACCTGTCCCTCTTCCTCTCTCCCTTCCTTGGATTACTTATGATTTATTATGTATTACCTATTACAGGTTTGTTTTCTTCATCTCCAACTTAATATGTTGCTTCCGTTCACACCAGATTGCCTTTAAATTAATGTGATTCCAACCAGATTAAACAATTTGAAGAAACCTAAAACTTACTTTTATGTAAGCCATGTACAATTTAGGAATGATGTAAGGTCAATGTACAATAATTAATAATTTTACTGATTGTATAGGGGAATACATGCCCGAACATAAACTGAATTTGTGTGAAGTTGTAGCATAAATCTTAAATGCATGAAATGCTTCAAGAAAACATGAAGAAAAGTTGTATTTATTTCTTTAGGTGCCTACTGCCACTCTCTTTCGCCTTTGTGTTTGACGTCCTGCCGGGTGGCCAAGGATGTTTGGCGTGCTCATATTTCCGCCTCTCCGCAGGGACAGCTGCTGTGAGCAAGGAGCAACAACAGCTGCCTGACCCTGATCAGTCCTGAACCCTGACCCTGCCACCCCGTGGAGGGAGAATGAGGGGCGTCCAATTTAGCAGCTACACAAGCATGTCCAAAAACAAACAGTCTCTGAAGTCTGATTTTGGTTAATTGTGAGTCCTTGAATATATATGATTGTATTTATTTTCAAGTGAGTCTAAATAAAGAAGTAAACTAAGTATACTCCATAAGCAAATCTTGGTGTTTTTACTTTTTGGGTATGCCTTCTGACAATGCTGACATGCATTTGTGAATTTATAGAAAACTGCAGAGGAAAGGAACATACATTACTTCTCCATCCACTCTACTCATCTTCCACTCACCTCCTCCATTCTTGTAGCAGAGGTAAGGGAAGCGCCACATGTTGCCCAGGCCGATGATGGAGCCTGCGACCGACAGAATAAACTCTATCTTGTTGCTCCACTGGCCCCGCTCCTCCATCTTCTCCTCCGAGGGGGGAAGCAGGTCCTTGGCTTGGCTGATGCCATTGTGGAGGCCTGCTTTTGCAGCGTCTCCTACAGGACAGACAGGGAGGAGCGGAGGATTGCAGCAGGTTATAGAAGCTGGTTGGTGTTGCTTGTTGCATGAATTTGAGTGGAGTTTTCCCTGCCCTCGATCAGCTGCCAAGATGCCCTTAAGCAAGGTAGCAAAGACACTAAACAGAGTGGGGGGCAGTGGAACAAAGTAGCTCTACTATGCACATAAGATCTGAATGTGCAAAAATGTATCAATAAAAAAATAGCATGCATGTTCAGTCCTTATTTATCTCTTGCAGATGTACCTGAAAACACACACAAAATAGTTTTTCTACACATTGTACCATTTTCATTCAAATGCAATGCAATCCTTATCCTTGCTTTAAACAAAAATCCATCAAAACTGCAGTAATAATCTCCAGCTACTCAGCTTGCCAAATTACTAACATTCACATCTTACCTTTCATTGCAGTGCCACTCAATCTTCTGTGTCAAAGGCTTGAAGCAGTCTCTGGAGATTTGTCTGTAAAATGCTCAGGTTTTAGTATTTAACATGAACGGAGCGAGGGGCGGGGGTTTGTAATGCTAAACTTAGGCCGGCCTCCACGTTCTTTTCCTTTTTGCCTGCCCTCTTCGGAGCAAAGTACATCACCTGCCATAACTCCACAGTTAAAATAAGGTGCAACAGGAGAGCCCAATGGGATGATCAGTATTGCATTACTGCTGCAGCAGACCACCTCTGCTGTGGAAAAGGTGTTTAAAGATGTTAAAATTGTGTAATTATGTCTCCCATTGTGCACTTTTAGGAAATTCTTGAGAAAAAAAAAAGTAAATATATACATGTTCTTGTCAAGGAGAAGCACCCTAATAATGAGGTTTTGACTTTGGGTTCCATGTATTTCCTTTCTGCAATGCAGTACATCCCATTTTCATGTCTGAGGTAAAGTTCCCAGTTGAAATATATCAGAAATGCAAGTGTTAACTCAGGCTATTTGATGTAAGGAGCAGATCACATTATACAGAATGATCACAGAGAATTTGTGAGAATCATAGGGGGTTAGCGGATCAGAATGTGTAAACAAATCTCACATCTTCTGAAAGGATAAACTGTCAGTCTGACCAGAAATACATCTGCACTAGGTCTTGCTGTTAACACAACAGTATGGAGCTGAGAGACGGAGGGAGAGAGGAAGCCATAAACAGTGTGTGTGTGTGTGTGTGTGTGTGTGCGTGTCTTATGTTGTCAAATCAGAAAGAAATGTTACACCAACTGTAAGCAGTGCTGTATCTGCTATAAAGCGATGATTATGAAACGTTTTTGTAACCATTAAGACACCAAGTCATGAATTCCACTCGAGTCGACACAACAACCAGCGGGCGATGAAGATGTAATGGCGTGAGGTGAGGGAGCAGACGTTATGTAATTTATTATGTGCCATTACAGTTCATTTTGTTGATGCCTCGCAGCTCCCCCTCTGATCGCATATTTCTAACTCTCCCGGTCAGAGCGGTGACAGAGGTGAGTCACAAAAGCAGCTGAGGTCAGTTCACACCGGATTCGACTTGGCAGAGTTAGAAGTGGACATCAGCACACCCCCCTGCCCAAGCCCCCACCCACAATCCTTCCCTCCTCTTTTTCTTTCTGCAAATTCAGATATTCATGTGTAAGATCAACAGAATTATTTCCTTTTTTCCATTGAAGCGCCATGTTGAAAAATTAGGGATAAGCCTAAAAAACTAAACAAGGTAATCATATTGTGAGAAACAGGCATTTTCCATGCTTGAAACAGAGGGGGAAAAAAACACATGTAACATGGGATTCAGCATGCAAGTCCTCATAAAAGCGCACCGCAACATGCTTCCACATGTCCCCTCTAATTGAGCTTAATGAGTAACACAGGAAATGTGAAGCTTAACCTGCCACTTGAAATCAATCAACCTCTCAATGACACGGTCATAAGTCACTGTAGAGACCTCTGGGTCATTGGTGGGTCAAATTCTGACACTTCAGCAGTGTGAAGGACAAAAAACACTCTCACACTTTTTAAAATGTTACCTTAGCTATGTTTAGTTTACTAGATTTTTTGTGGTTCTGTCCACTCAGAGACAACACAAAAAGAAGTGTGTGCCATTTTTAATTCCTAAAATTAAAAAAAGTAAATGAACACAAAGAAAAAAAACATCACAATTATCAATCATTTGACTAGGAATAGTTTATTAAAGGTGAGAAAACAAAACCAAAAAAGCCACAATCCATTTTTTTTAATTGCTTAAAAGTATGTACATTATAAATAATTCTACTACATTACAACCATTTGTTTCCTAGTCTGGAGTCCTACACATTGAGATGTTACTGTCTGGAGAGCCAGGCGGAGGGCTGAGGGGAGCGGATGTCCAGTACAACACAACTGGGGAACACATCTGTTCATTTGCCTGTTTTGCACTGAATACAACAGCTGGAGTAAGTGGGTTTCTGTTTGACTGTTAAGTAAGTGTACCGATGACTTGTTATTGTTCAGAGGAGGACCGGGAAATAGCTGGTGGATGTTTTCTAGACCTAAAACTGTTGTAGGAGGACTAAGTCTTTGTCTTTTTGCCTTTTCAACAGAGCTCTGAGAGAGAGCATGTCATTGCTGGAGCCACACGGTGACGGCAGGCCTCCTCTCTGCTTTCCAGATGCAAGTTGGGTTTTTTTTTCATTGTGCTCTATGATCCAGGCAGTAACAGAAGTGCCTCTGGTTTGTCCTTCTTCTTCCAAGCTCACTCATAAAGGCCTGTTCTGTCCCTCAGATGCTGTACAGTCTGGGTGAGAGGTTGAAACGCTAGCCCGGATACTAGGTTTTTGCTCATTGTGTGAGGTACAGTAATCAAACTCAGTCCTAGGCTGTTTCTGTATGCTAACTGCCCTGTTGAGGCTCTTGTTGCTGCTGCTGCTGCTGCTGCTGATGATGTGAGGTTCCTGGATTTAGATGAGAGGCGGGGGGCGCGTGAGACCACGACGCCACGACAGCTGAGGGCGGCAGACTCTGGACGACGCCGCCGGCGCTGCACATCGACGTCGCCAGCACTACGACGCTCTCCTCTGCCACCTCCTCCACGGTCAACCCTCCTCCGCCGCCGCCTCCCCCGCTCACCCCGGCGGCCTTCCGGGAGCAGTCCATGCAGATGTAGTCTTCGTTCTCGGCCATTTCGCACGACACGCCCACGCACACCTGGTGGAACCACTCGTCGCAGCCGCCGTCGCACTGCACCCAGTCCACCTGGAGACACGCAGGGGCAGGAGAAGGCATGTGAGCGAGGATTAAGAGGGACAACAAGGAAACATCATGACAATTATTGAAAAAGAACCAAAACACATGCGACAGTGGTGTGTCAAGCAAAACACAAAACTCCAGAAAAACATCATTTGTGAGTAATTTTTAACAGCATGTTAAAGCTGCAAGTCAGTCATTGCTTGATTGATTTAATGTAGTGCAAACAGAGCTGATGGACTGTAGATGATCCTGGATATGTTTCACACACACCACTAAGGACTGTCAGCTGATTTACTTACTGTAGAGTCAAACACACTGGACTGCTTGTGCACACTCTTAAGAGACTAGGTGTCACATATTGTGTACACAGCATCCAAACATATTGGAAAACAGCAGAGTTTAGCAAGTCATCAAATACATTTATCACTTAGACATTTACAACTATAATGTAGCTGCTATCTGCAGAAACATGCCACATGACACTTCATAAATCACACTGTTTTCTAGGATTTGATGTATTTTACTAATCCAGGTTGTTGTGTTCAAGGTTGCAGGGGCCCCATCCCAGCAGGCACTGGGCTACAGCTAGGGCAGCCAGTCTATCAAAGGACTAATACATAAAGACACATGAAAATATGAACTCAAATTCACACCTAGAGTCTCCAACCTGCATGTTTTTGGAGTCACACAAACATGGATGTAAACCCAACAAATAAATAAACAAAACAAAAACAAACACAGTCTGCTGGCCTGGTCAGATTTGAACCTGGATTCAATTATTAGTTGACGGTAAATCAGTTTTCTGTTCTTTTTTATTTTTTATTTAATTGAGACTGATTGTGAGGGGGAAACGGCTGAGGAAACATCATCCCAACTTTCCGGTGTTGTCGGCCTAGTTTCGAGCACCACCTTCATAATGTCATCATCTTCACTCCACCCACAGAGCTGCATGCCTACCAGTTCCTCAGCTCTGATAGGCTGCCCCGGCAGACACGGAGGGGAAGGAGACTGGCCACTGGTTAACTTAGCCGTCGGTGTGCAGCGCCGTCTCCGAAAAGGACCACATCAGTGTGTCCTGTTAATACGTTATGTGTAACTCTCCTTAAGGTGTTCCAGTGCTGTTATCAGCTGTTGATATTCAATAAAGTTCCATAACTTTCATTTGAGGGAAGTGTTCATATTAACTCAGGAAACAAACAAAAAAAGCTGTGTCATTGCACCTGGAGACACCTGAGTGTTAACGTCCTGTGATGAAAGCCTCTCTCAGTGCGGGAGGGATGTTACTAAGGAGGGTCAAGAATTGTCTAACTGACAAGGTAGTGTGCCAACATCATGGTCCTACGACAGCATGGCACAGCCTTAAACAGCTACATTTTAACAAGGCATCATGTCTGATTTCATTACATTAGTCTGCACTTGAGAGGATTGTAAAGTGCTTAATGGAAGCATATATTTGGTCTTGACAAGATCTCCAAATTATGCTTTAGGAACTTGGATGACAGGAATGCTAGCGGTAGCAAAGCTCGGCGCATTCAATGTAATGAACCTTGTTATGACAGAAAAGCTACAGAAAATGTCAAAATGTATTCATAACTTATAATTACAGTAGCAAGTACCAAAACTATTTTTAAACCTCCGAACACAGAGTGAACTGCTGTGGATAAACATCTAATTGCTGCATTCATCATCTCAACCTACCACAGGCCTTCTGACATCCAAATTTTAATACGTTTAATACATTTTTACATATGTTTAATCCAGCCCCATGTATGAGTGTCTCTCTATATCTCTCTATATAATAGTATTCTCACAAGTTTCTAATATGTCAAGAAGTGTGAATGAGTAAGTCAACTCATTGTGATACCTTAGATAGCTGAAGATGTATTATTATTCAAATATTTAGTATGGACTTTCACAATTAGTCACTTAATCGATTGGTTGAGCGACAGAAAATCAATAGATTATGTAATTCTTCAAGCAAAAATGCCAACATCTCTCTGGTTCCAGCTTCTCTGATGAAAGGATTTGCTACTTTTCAGTGTGAACTGTATGTCTTTGGGTTTTGGACGACCAAATAGGACATTTAAAGACTGAAAGATTCTGTCCATATACCTAATAAATACAATGCTTTAAATTAATATTTTAAAAAATAACACAGACCTTTGAGTTTTAAACAGGTGCACAGTCAGATGATTGCCTTTGACCTCTGTTAATTGCTAAACTGTAGCTGCGTTTATCAATCATCTATGATTCACCATTTGTGCCTCTTTTACTGCAACACGACCTCTTGACACAATCTCAACTTAAAGTGCTGAAACTCCGACTTACAGTTGTCCAGGAAGACATATTTCATTACCAAATTACAAAAATATTTTTCACCATTGGTTCACCTTAGCTCACCTTATCTTTACAGGGTCTCTGGCAGTTCTTGGCTGCACACACAGCGTTCTCATCGTTGGAGTCCTCAGCCCCAGACCAGTCATATTTGGAGGGAATGTCGAGAATCTTCTTCTCCTTCCTCTTCTCAAGCCCCTCCCTGATGGCCTCCGCCTTGGCCGCTGCCTTCTCCTTTCTTTTCCTCTCCTTCTCCTCCTTGGCTAACCGTTTGGCCAGCTGCTTCATCTCGCGGTTCTTGTCCAGGTTGAGTTTGAGCTTCTTCTTCTTGGGTTTGCCCCCAAGACCCAGTTCCAGGCCGACCCTTTTCAGCTCTTTGGACTTGGCAGGTCGCATGTCGCCCATTGCCGAACCCCCACCGACGGCGGCTGCGGCGGCCATCAGCATGTGGTGGTGCTCGGCTCTTTCTAACTTCCGTTTTCTCTTCTTCTCTGAATCCTTAAGCTTGATCTTCAGGGGCTTCTCCATCAGAGAGTCATCGGGCTGTAGAAAAGGAAGGGAAAGGCGAAATAAGAATTGTGAAACTGTTACCTTGCAAGCGGGTTTTTCACGAATTTGATCTATGCATCTATTCACAAAGTCAGAACCAACTGAAACCCAATGTTTAGTCACTATCCAGCATATGCAATCAGCTCCCCTACCTCCATGACCTGCAGGAATCTCTCCTCAGAGGGGGGGTGTGTGGCCTGCAGGATCCTCCAGATGTGCTGGGTCTCATCCAGGGACACCTCCAGCAGGTCTCCCAGCATCATCAGCTCCTCCAGCTGGGCCTTAGCCTGCAGGGAGAGCTCAAGCACTGGCGGCTCCAGGCTGCGAGGTACCAGGGGGGTCTTCCTGGGCTGCTTTCTGGGCGTGCCTACGTCTGAAAAGTAAATATTTTCAGTATGAGATGACATATTTCAGAGGCAAATCAGAAAGTGTAATTAAAATACTCAACATAATAGCTGTCACTGAATCATTTTAACACCAAAACAACAGGGAATGAAGGGTAGGCAGACTCAAAGCGACAAAAGTTAAGTGCGGCCTCACTTTGCACACAGGACTTGGACGCTGACGAGTAGGCGTGTTCGGCGCAGAAGGAGGGCGTGGCAGCCGGCCACATGTGACTGACCACCTCCTCGGACTTAACAGGGATCTCCTCATCGCAGAACAGGTAAGGCTTCACCTCGCCTGGGTCCTGCAGCAAAACACATAGAGGGAAGAATTAAAAAAAGAAAAAAGAAAATCCTCCTCGTTTATACGCGGCTAACAGCGCCGCTTATCACAGTCTCACATACCTTCATGTCATAACCGTAAGTCTCCCTGATGTCCTCGTCTGAGTCCGTCTCCTCGTCGTCGTAGTCCACGGACTGGCGAGGTGATGTGGCTCTGCTGAAACCTGACTGCTGAAAAGTCTGGATGTGTCCCTGGGGAAGAACAGAAAGTTACACACACAGTCAATGTCTTTGTTGTCAATGTCTCCTTCAAGGCCTTAAAATAAACAAAGTACCTGTTTACAAAAGCGCGATACAACAAAAGCATACATGCAATCTTCTTATTTGAATTAAAACAGCATTATGCTGAATTATAAAGCCAAATACTCTGCTTGACACCTTCAAAAGGCGTAATTATATTAAATATAAATATATACTTTTTTCAACAAACTATATACAAGGAATTCTGTAAGTTTATTTAATTGATGAGAACTCAGGCTGCCATCTGCCGCCTGTAATCTTGTGGTGTAGTTCATGTTGATACATTAGTGCCCTCTTCTGGTGGATTCTAAGTACATCCAAAGCCGCAGTAGAAGCAACAAGAATTACCATCCACACCTATAAACAGAATTCTTTGAGTCCTACTGGTGTTGTCCTGTAACAGAACAGAAATTAGAACAAAGTAAAATCGACGAGAGATGAAAGTCTAAAGTACCTGCAAGTCAGGGTTGGCAGCAGCTTTCTGGAGCTCGGCATTGATGATCTTCTCAGTTTTCTCCCTAGCGGCCTGCTCCACCATGCGCTGGCTCAGCACAGACAGCTTTGCCAGGGCTGAGGACAGCTCCTCTGTGGCCAGAGATTGACGTGCTCGGTCCTGGTACAACAGCCAGACCAGTGTATTTAGTAGAGATCAAAAGCAAACCATGGAAATGAAGTTTCAAAATAAAGAAGCTGTCATGAATAATGTCCTTCCTATGCATACCTGCCAGCTCATTGCTCTCTCTGTCAAACACTGGAGGGCTTCTCCTTCAGGCAGACGCACCGGAAGCTTCTGCAGTGACACCAACAGCGACAGGATAGTCTCTAATCTCGGCCTCCGCGACCGCTGACACAGCGGACACAGGAATTTGGAGTCTTTGCTGTTGCTCTGCCAACCCACGCCCAGCTTCTTCTGAGATCCCGTCTTGGGCAGAGGCACGCATGCCCCGTGGAACCAGTCCTTACAAAGCTCACACTGCAGCATGAAGCCGCTGGCCGTTTTTCGACACAGGCAGAACTTGACCTCCTCGATGCGGTCGGCCATGGCCATCTTGGCTAAATTGGCAGCACGGAGCGAGTGGATGGACTCCACTTCTTTCTGCTCTTTGGCTTTGAAGGCTGCTACAACAGTGGCGGGTTCTCGCACCTCTTCGAGGCTCTCCTCCAGGTCACTCAGGGCGTCGGGGTCAAAGCCTCCTCTCTCCTTCTCCATGAGCTCCTTGACGCGTTTCCTCTTGCTCTTGCTGTTGCCGTAGACCCCGATGTCCACGCGAGGGCTGAGGACCTAAGAGAAGAGGCACACAGGATAACAAAAGACATTATCACCCAACCTTGGTAATCTAAAGACTCCACAACAATCATTTTACATTTATTTGCCTTTAAAATGCACAAACACAGCACAATATATGTAGTCTGTAACTAAAATTTTAAGATTTAAATGCTGTATCTGAGAGGCAAATATCAAATCAACTTTTTTCTTGATAATCCACCTGAAGCAGTGTGTACGTGGAGTTCTTCTTCAGGAAGGTGCGAGCGGTCCTCTCCCTCCAGGCTCGGGCTGCGGCCACCTGAGACTCCACCTGGGCCAGTGGATCAAGCCGGACAGGGATGGAGCGACCCCTGGCCAGCAGGCTCTCCAGCTGCTCCAGGTAAGCATAGCTACTGCCGCTCTGCAAGAGGTGGACCCGCAGATGGAGAGAATTAAGAGAGATTTTTGTAATGCCCTCATTTAGAGCAAGTCTGGCTTACGATATTGGTTAAAATGGATTCTAAATAACGTAGTGTACACACAGATGGTACCTGAATGGCTTCCACCTTAGATGTCCACTCCTTGGCCTTCTGTAGGGCCTCTCGTAGGGCCAGAATATTAGGTAGGTACGCTGGGATGTTCCTAGCTTCCAGCACAATGCTCTCCAAGGTCACCATGCTGTGTCGAGGTCTATGGTTACAGAAGGACAGACAGACAGAATGATCAAGTATGACTTAACTAATAAGACTTTTTTGTATGTAGCCCCAGGTGTGCATGCATTCTGTCTCTAATAGTTTCTTAAATGATGAACAGCACTGTAGGAAAGTGCAAATATCCCCATCAAGTATTTACAAATGTGTGCTCTTTACCTAGCCTGCAGACAGGCACGGGCTTTGTCCTCCCATCTCTCCGAGACGGTGAGGATCTCCTGCAGCTCGGCCATGGCCTTCTCCACAGCGTGGTGGGGAGCCAGGCCCACCCCAGAGTCTATCAGCCTCTTCATCAGCTCCAGGGTGACACGGTGAGGCTCGGACAGGGTGACACGCACCTGGGACATGACGAGAACAGCACGTGTTACATGATGCCATACTTACAATAACTCCCGTCAGACCACACAGACAGGCTGAGGGTGTTGTATGAGCCCACCTCGTCGAGCCAGCGGGCCTGCTGGAGCTCCTGTTTCAGCCGGGGCAGCTCTGGCAGCTCTACGTCCAGGCCACTACCCAGGTCCAATAGCGCCTGCAGCTTGGAGGAATCTGGCATCTCGTCTGAGAGTGCCACCTGGGCTCGCTCGTGGAAGTCCTCCACATTCTCCAGTAACTCCTGGGAGCGAAGGAAAAGGAAGAGTCAAGTAGAGGTTTTGTGAAGGTAAAAGGAAGGGAAGAGAATGAAAGGAAAGAGCATTGAAGGGGTGAACTGTATTTCTTTGATAACTGGGTGCTGGGGGAAGCACAGAGGTACAGAAGGGACTCACTTTGACTTGTCGTGCCTGGCTGATGATGCAGGGCAGCCTGTAGAGCTGATCCACAAAGGCCTTGAGCTCATCCACTGTCAGTTTGGTGCGGTTGCGACTGCTCTCAGAACGCAGGCGGCTGCTGCACACACACACGGAAAAAGAGTGACGGCTTAGTTCACAGAGGACACAGTATTGATTTGCAAATGGAAAAAAATGTTGAAGTGTATGTACATGCAGGGCAATCAGTAAATCGCTTTTCTGATGGATTATAATAAGGTGAATCCTTGTCCGCTGACCTGTGCCTCTGTTTGCGGCTGAGCAGCAGCTGAGCTACAGAGGAGCACGTCTCCGCCTCTTTGACCATCTCTCTCAGGCGACGGAACAAAGCTTTCTCTGGATACTTCCTGTCCTCTGCATCCTCCAGCAAAACTTTGAGCTCAATAAGATCTATGAGACACACAAAACAAAACGATCACGCAATTGCACACAGAGACATTTGAAAAATGTTGTAGCAGTACTAAAGCATTCAATTCAATTCAATTCAATCAATTTTAATGCTATAGGCCAATTCATAAACAGAATTATCTCAGGACACTTTTCAAATAGACAGTCTAGACCGAACTCCTTTTAACAATATGTATAACCTTTCTTGTTCTTCTGATCCGCAGCCAAGGCCTCGGTGACCCTCTTCGACCAGGTGTCATAAGACTGAGCCCGTGTCTTGACACCGTACAGCATGGACGGAAACTCTTCCAGATCGTAGCGAAACCTGAAATATATGCAGATTTCTACATCAGAATATAGCATATGCGGTCGAGTAAATGTACAGCGCTAATCCTAAAGGACAACCTTAGGCCATGGCAAATTAGATTTCTTGACCACATACTATACACATTTTTTTTTATTGTTAGACATCGTACTGTATTAAAAAAAAAACACAGATCTCTCACCGAAGACACTTGTTGCCGAGTGGACAGTCACAGAGATCTGCTGCATGGTGGAGACAGACCAGCCGATCGGGGCTGCAGGAGCAGGTCAGCGCTGACAGGAAGCAGGTTGTCTTACACTTGTGACACTGGCGCTCGTCGTCAGGTAAAAGTTCAAAAACCTCTTGCTCTGAGGACAGCACGCCCTGTACATAAGGAGGAATGGGTCTTGAAATATGCTGTGAAAATATAACTCTTGCCATTTTAAAGGGATTCAAAATAAAGCAGAGGCTGTTAACAGTGACATTAAACTACAGGTAAAGAATTACGATGAATCACTCATAAAATTCTAAATGGAAACTCACCATTTCTTGGACAGCCTGTCTGAGTTTGGTCTCCTCCTCCATCATTTCTCCCATTTCCTTGAAGACCGCAGCGGCCAGTTCCACATCAAGACTCTCTGGATCAGCCGCCATCTTGCACAGCAGTTCCTCGTGGGAGAAGACGCAGTAGCGGTGGAGGCGTCTGTAATGGGCCACACACTGACGACCCATGGGTAACTAGGGAAGGGCACGAGTAAAAGATGAACACCAACACTCAACAAATAAATAATTTGTTTCGTTTTTTCAAATGGAGGAAGGATTTGCATCTCCCTCACCCAGTCAGCAGTGCAGAAGTTAACAGCCTCGGCAAAGTTGTAGCCCTGGTTGAAGCCGCTGTGGTAGGCTCTGGGGAAGGTCACTACAAACTCCCCTGCACACTGATTAGTCCTGTACACCTGAAGGAGGAAACACGCACATATGTTACTAATAATCAACACGGACCACATGACCAACATCTAATTAGATCCAATTTCAGCCCAGCGAAACATCAAGACTACATACAGGAACACCGTGCTCCATGAGGACATTGGGATTCATGATGGTGACCAGTTGATGGAGGAGGTCGGGCTGGGAGTCAAATAGCTCTGGAGCCAACTTTTTCATTACAGCCTCCAGCTGCTCTGCTGCAGAGGCCGGCACTCCGTACCAAGTTTTCGGTTCACCCCTGGAGAACAGAGGAATAAATTAACATTAAATACACTTAGCTGATGCTCTTATCCAGAGCGCACTCAAGTGGAACAGAATCCGAATAAGGTTAGTTTCTAGGCATGAATAATTCAATAATTTGACCGTTTCAATTGTCTCCGCCAACATACATGAGGCTGTTAACAGTGATATTAAACTAATAATATTTGTCCTTGGTTCAGCCTCACCAGTGCAGGAAGTTGATGGAATAACTCCAGTGGTCCTCGATGTGCCAGCAGAATGAGGAGAAACACATGCCAACATAGAGCCAGGGTACCTTCATCCCCGAGATGTCCACATTGATGTGTGTGAGCACGGACTGCTCCAGCACTGGCATGTTGTTCAGGTTCCAACCTGAGTTGGCATACTCCTGACATGAGAGTAAAACAAAGTGCTTTCTTTCACTTCATGGCAAATGTCCTGTTTTTACTTAATGTAGTGCTATTAAGTAAAAAGAGAAAAAAAGCTTTTAGGGGATCTGTGAGATGGAAGTCTAATGAATTAAATGATCTAGGTAATGCCTCTAAGGGAATCCCCATCAAAAGCGCTTTACTGGTTAGAAACCTCTGATAGAAACCTCTGATAGAACAAATAAAAACAATGAACTGGGCTTATAATCAAGCTCAACTTGATATGCACCTTACAGTACATATCACAAAGTGTTGAAAAATACAACAAGTCATATTTTAAGGCCATATAAATAAAAACCTCTTCAATAGAGTTTACGGAAATGTACACAACGCAATAATCATCTCACCTCCTCATCTCCCAGCAGCCTCCTTTTACCGTCCCGGACAGGAAATCCGCTGCCCACCTCCTTGGAGCTGATGTCAGCTCCATACTCTACGATGACATCCTCCTCGATGCTGCTGACCAGGCGCCAGAACTCTTTCTCCACCAACTCTGTGGGGACCATCTGGGGGCACAAGGTGGAAATAATGAAATCCCCATGCCTTGTCTCAACAGTGAAAAGCCTTTGAGCAACACATTTAACCTCCAATTGTTAAAGCAGAAAGTGTGACAGCCGAGTGATGGAAGGACGTGGATGTAACGGTTTACATATTCTAGCTCAGAGTGGATTCTACGTACATGAACAGGCATGTTGAAATAGTCAGACTTGAATTGGTCGGCCATTTCTCCAAAGCTCTGGAGACTGTACTCCCTCACTGCCTGCTCAAAGCCGAATGCCTCCCTGGGCTTACTGCACTCCTGCGAGGGAAGACGAACAACACATTCATTATATGCATTATGCATAAAGAAGGTTACATTTCTAATGAAAAGGATGAGGAGACCAGTAACAAGCCTTACCTCAGCAACACACTTAGGGCAGCGCCAGTCCCCCTTGGGCACATCCTGTAGAGGTGGGATCAGGCAGAAGGTGTGGTAGCTGTCATCACAGCCGTCGCACAGCAGGAGCCGGTCCTCCTCATCACCCCGTCCACACACCAGGCAGAGGTAGAGGTCGATCTGGGGGATCAGTTCCACAAAACATAAAGGATATGGTCACGCCCAGAGTGTCCCAAGATGCAATAAGTGTCAATATTCAACAACAACAAAATGAGCTGGCACTCACAAAGTTAACCTCCAGGGTCTCCTTTCGTGGTCTCATTTTGATGGCGAAAGCCTGGGCTTTGAGGTGACGCTGCTTCCTGTTGAATCCATCGTCTGAGTGAATGGAGAAAAGTGCTGATGTCAGGATACAAACATAACAGTGCAGGTCTGTTGCTCCATGTCTGCGCTAAAATTACAGGTCAACCATAAACGATCCTTACCAGCTGAAACAATCTCCAAGCCAACCATCTTGGGACTTGTACCAAAGATCTTTAGGCCTTTTGGCTCCTTGTTTTCCCTCTAGAGAAACACAACAACAACAACAACAGCAGACTGTGAGACAAAGTGATCCTGCTAAAAAACCAAATGTTAGATTGCCTCTGGGGAGCAAGCCTGTTACAGCTGGAAATCTGTAAAGGGGCGGGGGCGGGATGTTTAAAGTGAAGGAGTGAATGTTAAAGGTATAAACTTGTTCTGTGAACTACATAACACTGTTCGAAAAATGGCTTAAATTGAAAACTTAGCACAAAAACGGTTCATTTGTCACCTACCCGTAATGTTATCAAGATGTTTTTACATAAAAGAAGTGTATTACACTTGTTTACCTCAGACTTAAGGCGCCTGGAGCGTCTCTCAGGCAGAAGCCGATCTTTGGTTTGCATACCGTCACCCTCCCCATCTTTCTCCTTATCCTCCTCCTCATCTGGCTCCTCTTCCTCCCCTGCCTCCTCACCAACTCCCTCATCCAGTTCTTCCCCATCATCTCCTTCCTCGTATAGCCGCTGGATGCCCTGAAAGAAATGGAGTGAAAAGAAATTAGGTTGGTTAATTAGGTGCAACATGTTTGATTTGGACAGACTGAGTTTGGTTGTTGTACGCTTCAAGACTGAAATTTAAGAGGAATGCTGAGAACAGCCAAACCAGAGATTCCATGTTGAGGTTGGTTTTGTACGTTTGTTTTTGTGCAGCTGTTCGAAGAATGGTCGAACTGTGTTAGCTTGTCGATGTTAAATCGGCACTACTCACAGTCAGCGTGGCTCCAGACTGGAAGAGTTCATATGGATAAAGGATCCTCTCATAGTGGGAGCGCAGCAGTGAGCCGGTGCCTTTCCCGGATGGGAAGCCCATTCGACTGGCCACCTTTGACCACCTCTTCTCTTTACATACGGTCTCAAATCCGCCCTCTGATGACACAATCTGAAACACACAGGTGTTTTTTTTTAACAAGAATGAAGGGTAAAATCAACATTTAACAAGTGAACCGAAGTGAAAAAACAAAGGTTCAAGAAACAGGCAACTGGCTAAAATCTTATTATATATCTTGTTATATAATTAGCTCATTAAAAGCAAAATGATCTAGTTTTACCTTGCTTAGCTGATAGAGGTCCAAAACCTTTCTCTCCACATGAGGGAATCGGATCTTGGATCCCTGCAGCTCCCAGAACTTTGCGATTTGATCCAGAAAGTTGAGCTTAACCCGGGTGAGGGCCTGGATACGCAGGAGAGAGAGGAGAGAGGACAGACTATAAATGCAGGAGCCAAATGTGCTGCTGTTATGCACACTGGACACCTCAGGCAAAATGATGTTTGAATGGCTGCACTCTGATACACGACCATACTTCCCTGGTTATGTGAAAACCTTATAACTCCCATAGCGGAGCTGTCCTGCTGCTCTGAATTAAACATAAAAGTGAGCAGAAGGCTTGAAAAACACAGAATCTCAACAGGTGCAAGACAGCAGACCTTGTAGGTGGAAACAAAGTCTGCACACTCTGCTGCTACCCAGGGAGTATGTAATTCATAAGTTAATTAACAGCACACCTTGAAGTAGCGTACAGTTTGTTTATTTCTCAGATCTCTGCCCAAGAGACCTTGAGCAAGGCACTGAACCTCAAACCTGCTACGAGCCCGCTGCACTGCAAACAACCCCAGCGCTCTGATGAAATGCATATGTGTGAGGGACAATATGCGTGTGTAACTAGGAGGGATATGCAATGTATACACTGATGATAAAGCATAAGTTAAGTCAGGAAAGCAACACCTGGGACACAACCTCCCTCATTATTATTGATATGGCGGCACGGTGCATCTTCCTGGCAACCTCACCTCAAGTTCATTCAGCCTCTGTACTCGAGGAGTGAAGCGGAAGTTGCGCACATCGCAGGCAAATGGAGGCTGCCAATCCTGGTGGACAAAAAGACACAATCAAAACTGAATCTTCCCAATTACAACAACAACAACAACAACACGGCAACAAATGAGTGTTTCTCAAGAAAGAGCAGGGCTTATTAAATTAGGTTAAGGATTACAACTATTAATAACTCAATAATATCCCTTATGCTGTTACAAAAGTGCAGTTGAGCCCATTTTTTGTAGAGGACCAACTGTGAATAAACACTGCCTCTCTGAAGCTGTTATTTTCAACATGGTATTCACTCTGTTCTTACAGGCTCTTGATTCACTGTGGGCCACATAGACACACCACAACAGCTAAAAGAGCCTAAAAAAAATTAAAATATACTCAAATGGTTGCTCGTGTGTCCATATAAGAGAGCATAAACATGGGTTTATTGTGTGTGAGCAGCGACAGGCCTGCCTGTGGCCCAACGTCGCATCCTCGCAGCTAACGTGGTACAGTCACTGTGCTGAAACTTAGCTAGCCATGAAGAAAACAAAAACAAAGGCATTATAACCGGAACTGTTGAACTGAATGCCCATTTCCTAAACTTTTCCGAGCAATACATGACAACTAATCTTACCCAAGCACAAAATACGCGCAGTTAAGTGCGAAGGAATTAAGCTTATTTGACCTCTATTAGAGTAAAGGCAACTAGTAATGTCGCTGCCTATCGCAAAATTCACGCAGGCCCTGTTAAACCAGCGCTGCCTGAGTTACACGCAAATCCTCGCAGACTTTAATCTCGGGTTTATAACAATGTTTTTTAAAAAATATATATATGATATGCGAGTTTACCTCGGGGGGTCGGATCTTGCAGATGCCCGTTTTCTCTGCGATGGGTCGGATCTTGTTGATAAATCCTAAAGGATCCGAGAAATCCTCCCAACTCGGCTCAAAAACCGGACATTCAGGAGGGGGGACGAACTCGGCAAACGCAGACATGTTGATGAGCTGCCAGTGGAAACAGTCTTTAAAAATAAATATCAGCTAAAAAAAATAAATGCACCGAGTTCAGCTCAACAGTCCATGATTATTTCCAGTAATTTTCGTCTTGGGGAACTTCCTCCGTGTCCATCATGATCCTTCAAAATCTGAACAGGCCATGCCAGTCGCGATTGCGAATCATAATCTGTTTTTTTTTTGTTTTCTTCTTCTTTAAAGTGAATGCATAAATACAACAACAGAGCGGATCAATGTGTTCCCATCCTCCGCACACAGCGGGCCAGGTCGGGGCCGGGGAGTCTTCAGCACCACTCCCCTACCTGGGACGGAGGGCAGGGTCAGTCCAAAACGCCATCAGTCCTTCCTCACAGACGACAACTTCACAATAATCACCTCCCTGCAGCAGCGGAGACTTGGCCCAGGGACGATCGCAGGATTTGAAAAGAAGTTTGTAAACGCACAACACACAAAAACAAAACAAAAAAACCCCCACTCCTGCTTTATGATGTTACGCAAGCTATCCCTGCTAGTGCTACGTCTGTGTACCTGGGTAGTGCATCATGTCTCCGTGATGGTGCATCAACAAAGTTACCCACGGTCGGTTTAAGTCCCGTGGCAAGCTGGTAGTGTTGTTCAGCTAACGCAAATCACCCTCGACCGTCAGGCTTTTTTCCCCGAATAAACTCTTCACGTCCACTTCTCCGAGCAGCCAAGGATCACAACAAGGGGGAGGCTAGTAGTTGCAAGCGTACACTGTTGACTGGCTGTCTTCTCTCCGTGCAACAACCCCCATTCATTGAAGCGTTTGGAGCCAGTGGGAAACTAGCACACGGCTAATTTGGTCGGGCTAAAATCAGCTTAGCTACCTCTGCTCGTTGCGCAGCTAACGTTGACGTTAGCCGAGAAAGTCCGCCATTGCTCGAGTGGCTTCATCGGAATCACATAGAAAAGGGCATTAATCCGTTCGCTTTGTTTCACATGGTGTCACTTTGCGTGTAATTTAACGTCGTCTGTAGGTGTTGTATCCGCATTAGCTAACGTGCTAGCTACAAGTAGCAAGGTTGGGAAGAGCTGCTGTGGTGCCTTCACGGAAACTCGGATACTTTTTACTACTTCCGAGGTCGCAGGGGGTTTTTTTTTATAGAAAAGGCAGTGTTTTGCCTGTAAAATGTGATATTTAGCAACCGAGTGCTATTGTGTGGTTGCAGTGTGACCGTGGCAGTCTTCTGTGCAATTTTGACGGACATTATGAACAGCTGGTATTTTTAATATTTCCTACAGCACCTGAAGGCAGCATGATCCGTAACGTTACAAAGGTTTGAAGCAACAATGTTGAACTTCAACCGAAAACACGATGTCGCTTCATTTTACAGCTCAATTTTACAATGTCATAATCATAAATAACAGTTGTTAGAACAATAATATGCGATGTTACTGTTGTTAATGTATTATAATTTCTATTGTTTCATTTTACAGTCATAACAAGGCGGTACCCATCCTCCACTTCCGCCTCAAAGCCCAGTAGAGATTGCAAAAAGTGAAGCTGAGAACACCCAATTGTTTCTGAATCAATCACAGACACTTAAAACCAGAGCTTTATTGAAACAATCTAATTTCCTGTATCAATAAACTCACATTAAATTAAGTATGTATCAGAAATATTTCATGAAATGTACAATAAAAGTAATCAAAATGATTTTAAAGTTAAGGCCCAAATGTAAAAGCAATAAAATTAACAAATTGTTTGATTCAATTTAAGCAAAGTGTTGACATCGGTGGCCTAGTAGTCGTCGTGAAATGGATACTCCGGATGATCAGACCACCTGTTGAGTCAACAAAGAGAAATAGTAATTGTTTACTACAGGAGCAGAACATCTCTCATACAGTGTGTATGCTATACTATACTCACATGAGTAGCTCCACAAAACGAATATTCTTGTTCAGACCCTCAATTGCCTTCATCTCGGTCTCAGAAAGAGAGAAGTCGAATATCTGCAACAAAATTGCAACACATTTCATTCTTTATTTCCCCTTTTTTTTTTTTGCATGCCATACCAAAAATTAAAACTGAGGCCCTACAAACAAACCTGAAAGTTTTCCTTTATGCGAACAGGGTTGAAGCTCTTTGGGATGACCACCACTCCCCTCTGGACATTGAACCTCAAGGCCACCTGGGCTGACGTCTTGTTATACTTTTTAGCAACTGATACCAGCAGCTCATCTTCCAACAGTGGGGGGCATTTTAGGTTTACCCTGTTGACATGATTGGTATTTTATTATGACACAGAAAATTCCCCTTTTCACAGCTAAATGCCACCTTAATAAGTTTAAGGTCTTGTGCAAATGCAAATGAATCCATTGTAGCTGGGAACAGTGTTTTTCTTATTAGCTACTAGTTACATATTAACTTTATGTAATAAGTAACTATTCCTCTCTCTCTCATACCAGGATGCATCCCTAGATGTCCCCAAGGGGCTGTATCCCACAATGATAATATCGTTCTGCTGGCAGTACTCAAGCAGCTTTGGCTGAGTGAAATAGGGATGGCATTCAACCTGTGTAAACAAAAAGCACACATAATAATTGTTAATTGCTTCTTTGTTAGTCTTGTGCTGTACTAGTCAGTATTTATGTTCCACGCCCCTTTTCTAAAGGGCATCTTTACCATTTTTTGTAATCTATTTTTTTAATTGTCACTGACTTGCGGCATTTTCTTGTGTTTGTCAGCCCTTTTTTTCTCTCTCTATAATCCCAAATCTAATATTTTCTTAGGATTTGCCTTAATTCCACAACATAGGTGTGTTATTAAACTGTCTGTACCTGGTTGGACACAGGTTTGTGTTTGAGCCCAGGTTTGTTCAGGATCAGCTCCAGTTGCCGCTTGTTGAAGTTAGATACGCCAAGAGATTTTACAAGCCCGGCATCTTTGCAAGCCTCCAAAGCCTGTTAAAGGTGTAAAAAAAATAAAGCACTAAAGGCAGAAAGCAGCAAATTAGACTTTGCACTTTGAACAAAATGTCAGGTTTGTAAGTGCACAACACAGGGTACTGCTATGACCCCCGTATTTAATCTTTCTCTGCATTTAACGTACAGACAGTAGGAAGTCTTTCTATTCTTAAATGGACAGTAAACGTTAGATCAGCAAGTCTCACCTCCCATGTAGCACGGAGATCTGTCTTGTGATAAATGTACTTCCCATTTTCATCTTTGGGGTAAAATGTATCTCCTGGCTTCAGAAAATAATAATATACAGTGAGTTTAGATGGCAATCATTGGCAGCAGTGAGCGTTAAACTGAATGAAGAAAAAACAATTGAATGCTGTTTTGACAACAGGTCTTTGAAACGCAACACTAAATGCACGTATACCTTGAAGGCTATGGGTAGTTCGACAATGTAGAGGTCGATATAATCCAGCTGTAACGTCTTCAGGGTTTTCTCCAGAGCAGGTCTCACCAGTTCCGGGGGGTGAAAGGTGTTCCACAACTGCATGATAAGCGCAGGTGACAAAGGTATTATCTGATGCAAACGTGCACTTTGTAGCCATTAAGTTCATTGACCTCTACAAGCAAACAGCACAAACCTTTCCACAGTAGAAGATGTCCTCTCTCTTCACAGTCCCTTCTGCGATTGTGTCCCTTATAGCTTGTCCCACCTCATGTTCATTGAAATACACCAAAGCCCCATCAATGTGTCTGTACCCTGTTTCAATAGCCACTTTGACTGACTCATATGCAGTTCCTTTAGGGGTCTATCAAAACAACACACACCTTTTATGAGTGAACATTGTTTAAGTGACATGCAGGGGGGGGGGATCTGACAAAAGCATGTGTCTTACCGTGCGGGGATCCCCATAGGTTCCCAGTCCTATCAGAGGTATTCTGTTTCCATCACTCAGATGAATGGAGTGACTCTCAGCTGTCAGGTCCATCCTCATCGAAGTGTGACAGAAAATCCCCCAGTGCGGTCGCTTGTGTCATTACGCAACCCCCTCCTTGCGCTAAACATACCGTCCAATACAAGTTGACACAGTTAGAATACTTTATCCAGTAGCTGAACATCTGTTTGACACTCCTCCCACTAAAGAAACAGCCCCCTCCCACAAACATAACAGAACTCAGAGTGAGACACTATCTAAAACAAATGAACAATACGATTAAATAAGTAGCCTTTTGTGTCCGGGGGTCCATATATACCACACGTTTCCTGCGGATAATTGGTTAAAAACGAGGAATTAAAGTTGTCCTGCACCCAACGTTGTTTGGCCTCAGGCGGGCGCTGTGGCTTTAAAACGCCGCAGTGCCGTCTGGGTAATGTATGGTATGTGTTTTGAGCCCAGAGTGAACAGATGGTCGCCTTTCACATGGACGGACGAGCTTTAAAATACTATGTATGTGGCGTAATGTTAGTTCACAAGTGAGTTCGCGCTGTTGCGTCTTCGCCCGTTTGAACAAGGACCGCTAACACCCGGGGAATTAGTTATTTATTGTCTCTGGCGTTTGTGCAATTTTAAATAAGCTACGTTGCTAATTTAGCTCCCAAAGCGAAAAGAATTACACTGAAACTGTTAGCGCACAGTTTGAGAAACCGCCTTGTAGGATGAAAGGACTGCGTCTTAAATGTTTCGAGGCATAATGTTAGTACTCAACGTTATATCCCCTATTTGGCTTGTTAAGCCAGGAAAATTATAAGCTACCCTTTGTTTCAAAGCTACATTGATTGCTTGACTGGCTCGTATCGGGAAGCAGCCGCGGATCGAAAATGGATGAAAGTGCCGAAAACGACGACATTGTCATAATCGTCGAGAACGAGGCAGAAAGTTTGCCCGCCGAGGAGGAGAGGCAGAAGCAACAAGGCACCTTCGGGCTGATGGACACTTGTCCTATCTGCAAGTTGAGCTTCCACAACAGAGAGCCCAAACTCCTGCCGTGTCTGCACTCTTTCTGCAAGAGGTGTCTCCCCGCTCCCTTCAGGAGCGCGGACCCGAGGCGGGACTCGCAAGGACAGGTCGACAGCAACAAGCCATGTGAGGATGGTGTCTGTCTGTGTTGAGTTGGTTTGATGTGACTGTGGCAGATTGTGATAACAAAGCTAGAACTGAAGCAGTGGTTTAAGTTTATTGTATTGATAACGAGCTTAGTGTGGTGTAGCTGTTAGGACTGTGCAACCCAAATGAGTGGCCAGGTGATGCCAAAGCTTGGAGTGCTTTTGACTAAATATGTTAATCATTTATTGAAATAATGTGGTTTAAAGTATAGCAAAGAGGTTTTTTTTTGGTTTTTTTGCTCTCACAAAAATGTCACTTACCTGTAATTCAACCTTTCAGACCAGCTAAACAAAGCTGTGATATCATTAAGCAAATATACTATGGCTGGCTGCACGCTCTGTGTCGTATTAAAATCGTAGGTGAGTTATAGTCTCGTGTCACTGTGTCAGTGTTATAGCTTAGTATCGTTCAGGTCTGTGTGTTTTTTTTTTTTTTAAACAATACACTCATGTAAGTGCTTGTGAGCTGACACCTTCTTCAATAATGCATTAATGCATCTGGTCTCTTGCTCCAGTGGGTGCCCTACGATGTCCAGTATGCAGACAGGAATGCTGGGATATGGACGTGTTGGATAATTTCTTTGTCAAGGACTCCGCCGAGGTGCCGAGCAGCACGGTAGAGAAAACCAGCCAGGTGGGGTGATCCTCTTCCTCATCCTGAGCCGCCCCCCTCACGAACAGCTTCTTTTTGTTGATACCGCTCTCCCAAGTGCTGATTTCTTTCTTTCATTTATTCTTTTTTTTTTTTCTCTTTCGTGTGTTAGGTGTGTATGAGCTGCGATGACAACACCGAGGCAACAGGTTACTGCGTGGAGTGTGTGGAGTTTCTGTGTGTGACGTGTATTGAGGCGCACCAAAGGGTCAAGTTCACCAGGGATCACACCATACGGCAGAAAGAGGAGATGTCTCCAGGTAGTGTGTGACGTACAAAGCAGGAGAAACTGCACATTTTCTTCCTACAAAATGACAACTTCAATCTTGTATGCTGGACTGTAGTGAGTATGCATGCTACATACTGTACTTAAATATTGAAATAAGACAATTCTGTAAACAGCCTAAGGTGGTCTAGATGGTAGGCTGTACAGCTTTTGTTTTACCTGCCAGAGTGTTGTAGACAGACTGCTCTAACAGGATGTGAGTCATGATGATGATAATAATATAGCGATGCTATAGATATAGACAATTGTGGTGACATAAGCTGACTTTCTATTTCTTTGTTCTTCTTTGTCTGTATCCCAGAAGCAGTAGGTATTTCCACGCAGAAGCCTGTGTTTTGTGACATCCACAAGCAGGAGCCACTGAAGCTGTTTTGTGAGACTTGTGACCGACTAACCTGTCGAGACTGTCAGCTGCTTAAACACAAGGATCACAAGTAGGCAGATTTTTTTTTTTTTTTAACAATAAAAATCATATATTGTTCTACTTATCCTCAATAAATATTGGCAATAGGTCTTTGGTGTCGGTCTGTTGCCAAACAAGAATGTCCGATGGTTCATTTAAGTGATAAAATATCTAGAGCAGTTGTAACAATGTGCTTTCAGTCATTAATGCTTGTATTCTTTGTGCCCAGCTACCAGTTTTTGGAGGATGCGTACAGGAACCACAGGCAGTATCTGGAGAACATGACACAGCAGTTGCAGGAGAAAAGAAAGGCCATTGAGGAGGTGTCCGGCTGTATCAGCTCTGGGTAAAGTTGCCCTCTACAGCTGGATTAAATCAGTTTGTTTTATTCTGATTGAAGCCCATTTCTGCGCAGTGTAATTTTGACAAATTGGCTCCCACGGTAGACAGAAAGTTGTTTTTCCTGACTTACATTTTAGCAAGTCTAACTAGAATCAAAATCCTCTGCATATTGAAACTGCTGAGGCATAGTATTAAAATGAACGTTCTGTCGTTAATTCCCACAGACTCCAGCAAGTTGAAGAAAACCGGAAGTCCGTAATGAATGAAATAAAGAAATCTGTTTGTAACTTGATTATGGAGATCAACAGGAAGGGAAAGATTCTGGGTAACCAGCTTGAGGTAGGTTTAATCTGCTTAGTTCAATGACCTTCCACATGCAAATGCGACATTTTAGAGTTATATTTTCTGCCGATTAATGTACGCATCTACCCCTAGGCTCTCACTAAGGACCATGAGTTGGGTTTGAAAAAGCAGCAAGATGAGGTCAACTCTCTGAGCAGGCACTTAGACCACGTCATCAGCTTTACTAAATGGGCTACAGCCAGCCACAGTGGAACAGCCCTCCTCTACTGCAAGAGACTGGTGAGTGACGTTATCATACAGCAGTTTGAATTATATTACCGTTAATTGTTACATGTATTTTGTACGATAATTAGGATAAACCCACCAATGCTTTTCTGACAGCCCTGTCTTTTTGTCTTCTAGATCCTTTGTCAGATCCATTACCTGATGAGAGCGAGCTGTAATCCCTCCATCGTCCCTCAGAGCTCGGTTCGCTTTCAGTGTCGCTCTGGTTTCTGGGCCACGAATGTAGACCTCGGTAAGGCTGGAATCACATAAAAGTTGCAGTACGAATATTGTTTGCTGACCGATTGCATAATAACACATGTTTCCTGTTGATTTGTAGATCGTAGTGTGCCTTTTTTAAAAACCTGCAATCTGGAAAAATAAAGGCAAAATATGACGTGATTAGCTTAAACTTTTATGCTCACTGAGTAGAACAGTTAGTAAGTAAGTTAAAAATTAACGACATCAGCAGCTGAAATGTATCCTCGGTAAGATTGTTGACAGTACTGAGAGAGGTATATGCCACTGTTGGAACTTTTTTGGCGAGGTCATCCTATACTTTTATTATTTTGTTAGTGTGCTCTTGAATACATAGTAAACATGTAGATTGTTTTGGTTTTTGTCTTCCAGTGTATGAATCTCATCTGGCCTAAATGACATTTTATTAATCTTACCGTATGTCAGCTTACACAATCCTCCATTTGTTTTAGCACGTGTATGTACTTTCTGTCAGTAGTCTTGAACAGGAAAATCAAGTTTATGAAGGTGGAAAACACCTGCTTGACTTCTTAATGCTGCTGCTAAAAAAAACTGTCACTACTAGAACAGTTAATAAGTAATTAACATTAGCTTAGTTTCGCTGAAACTAATACATTAAGCTTTTCGGAATGATGGATAACAAAAATGTAACACAAAAAACGCATTAAACTGTTTCCACCACTTGCATTTTCTGGCCTTTCTGCAGATGTATGCACATTACTTTATTATTCCTCCACTGTCGTACACCCTAACTTCCACCTGATTGTAAAACAGAAGCTTGTCTAACTTGTAGCTGAGCTTCTGTTCCAGAAATAATATCACAAACCCTGTGACCAAACACATTGAATGTACCTTAGGGCGTTTACGTTGGCACGAATTACACATTCTTGTCCAGAAGTGATTACAAAGGTCGTATTAATATCTTACCTTAGACATGAATCATAATCCATTAACCTTGATGAATGACCTCACTTTCAGTTGTGTTGATATTAAAAACACTCATAATTGTGTCCTTGTAGGTCAGCAGTGTGTAGTGACATGGGCAAGTCCCCCTCAACCAGAGGACTGAGGTATGATTCATGATTTATTTCTCAATTGTTTGCTTATTTTCTGCAGGTTCTTTGGTAGTAGAAAGGGGCCCTGGCCGGCCACCCGTCACCAACCACCAGGCAGGTCCCAGAGCAGAGGCGCCCACTGGAGGTCTCTCAGCTGTCTCAGCAGCTCAGCAGCGACAGAGCACACTGGCTCAGCTCCAGATGCAGGTAAGATTTTTATCACTGTCTCAAAACATAAAAAAAACGTTGTCAAGGTACCTAAACTACTGACAGAAGTGTAAAAAAAGCAATTGTTCTGGTTTTCTTTATAAATTTTCCATTTATTTTTCTGTCCAAGGTGGACAAGCTTTCCCAGCATCCCCTCAGGCAGCCCCCTCCTAACCACTGGTCTTGGTACCAAAACGTCAGGCTCCCAGGACCCCCAGGACCACCAGGACCCAAGTCCCCCA